ATGTTCCAAAGTAGTCCGAAGTATATATCGGATTTTTATTAAGAGTATCATTCAATTACGTACGTAGAACTGGAAGACCAAACCACTCCCGCGCCACCGAGATTGCATTACGATATCGAAGTCAAACTCGTTAACTTGGGCGACGGATTTATGGCCCCCACACCCGACAGTCCTGACTTCGAGGTAATCTCGAATAGGATATCGGAGAGCTTCGGGCCGGTCTTCGAGAACCTCCCGGGCTACTATCAAGTCCGACTCGACGAATTACGAAAGTAAGATAGCGAAAACGAAGAAATAACAGAGCAGCAAGGAGATACGATGTTCGATAAGGTACCACTCATTCCCGTTCGTTCCCGTTGCAGAGACAACGAGCAGGGAGTGATCGCGCGCATGAACCTGATCGTTGACAAGAACGAGGCCAAGGGCAGGTCTCTGAAACCCGCGGACACCGGCTTAGAAGCGGAAAAAGCGTTGCGCGAGGCACTCGTGACCGGCAAGGTTGGAGCACTCAGCGTCGATCCGCAGTACTTGATAGTGAGAGCACCCCGAGGTAAAAGCCCTGAGTTTCCAAACATTACACATTGTTCGCTTGTCGATTTCGGCCTTTCTAAATGCTTTCCGCCCATTACAATCTTTCCCTTCTAGATTGAAGTTCGAAATTAAATTATATCTCATCTTTTCTTGATATAACTGCATATAACGGTAATTATCTTAAAATTTCAAGAGTCACGCGGTTCAATTATGCAGCTTCAAGCAGCGTCATTGTTTAAATGCTAACAGAATATTCGAATTATTTCCCAAGTAGTAAAGTGAAGTAGCGAAATGACGTCTTAATAACGTTTTAATGGCGTCTCTAACGTCAATAAGACGTCATTGAAACGTCATTTGACGTCGTCTCGCCACTTGGGTTGACATACTCGTCTTCATCGAGCTCGCTACAAGTTTTACGAGGTAAAACTACGTTATTACATTCGCTTTCAGTGAACGATATAGATACGGATGACGAATACGATCGGCCACCTTCCGCGACGGACTTGTTTTTGGGCGCGACGAAGCTTTACATCGTCGTCGGTTGCGTGGCAGCGTTGCTGGCCCTCGCTCTGCTCCAGGCCAGTTGTACTCTCTACAGGAGCTCGAAGAGACGAGCAACCAAGGTACGTCCCGTGTTTTCTCTTCTTCTCACGTATTTTTTTTTCTCTCCACTATTTCTCGCATCCCCTCAGGTCTCCCTCCTGAGTGTTGTGTTCCGCTACTTCTCTAACGAACTTGTGATGTTCCAAGAAAGACGTATAGCGCAATCCGAGTTTTATCTCCGGAAAGGAAACTAGTCTTTAAGCATTATTTCGGTGGAACTCCCGCACTTATTGTAGCGACTATTAAAAAGTACCGCTCGCTCCAGCCCCTTGATAAACGTAACGAGTTTGCGTCCCGGTTTACCTTCCCCGAGTGCGATAATGATAATGATTTTTGTCTATTAATTATTAACTAAATAACTGTAATATCGTAACAAATCTAACGAACAATTAAAACAATTCTGTGGCGGTCAGACGACAATGTGCCTGCAGAGCGGCCAGAACAGTACAAAGAGCGACAGCTCGCGGATGTAGAGCCGATTGTGAGCAACGCGTGCTGTTGCAAAGCGGTTGCTTCTTGCGAGTAAAAATCCGCACGCACTAAGATGAGAGATGAGAGGCCCGTGAGAAGCTTGATAGCAGTCGCTATGGTCTAAGTATGGATCCTATTTCCGCTCACACAGCGCCAAGACACCTTCGTTAGTGCTACTGCGTAGAGAATAGCATCAGCCCCACTGAGGAGTGTTGAGACACCTCTGTTCACACAGCGTAAAAGACAACACTACCTCCACTAGCACTGCAGCGTAAAAGTCAGCAACCTTCACTCACACGAGTGTTAAGAGCGAATTTTCTTACAAAGGTCGAAACCAGGCTGGACCGAAAACCTTCACCGCGATCGATCTTGGACAGAGATGTTGCCGAACAGGACTCCATCCACGAGCCGTAATCGCGCTGAACGAATTGCAAACAGACCGCGCGGGCCGTAACCAGGTGTCATTATAAAATTGGCACTTTATTTAAAAAAACCGAAAGTTCTTGACAGTCCCGTTTGCAACCGCAATAATTCTGTAGTTCCTGTATGTGATAGGTTTTAGAAATACATTACTAAAAAAAAAAGGAACGCTGCATAGTACCAAAAGTACGTAATTTTTCAGAACAAAACAACGTGTTCTTTTATAAAGCACAGAATAAGAAAGATAAAGTTTTAAAAATTATCGATAGTGCATTAAAGTTAAAGAAATTCCAAGTTTCAAAATGCCTTTTTAATGTTTTGCCCACGATGATTTTTTCACAAAGTTTCAGCGATTTAAAAATAGCCCAAGTTTTAGTATGTGTGAAAAATGTTCCTTTCTTTTTTTTAGTAGTACAGTTCCGCTGATTTTAGTAGAAAAAATAACATTTGAACGTAAGAGGTGCTAACTTCCCGCAGTAATTTCAACTAGAAAATTATATAATTCTAGGGCAGACAACTCTATAGTTGTCGATGCAATTTAACAAATTCCGTCCATTAACTGTTTTTAAATTTCTCAATCGGACTAGCACCTCACTTTATTAAGTGGCTATTCACGTTTCTCTTCTATCCTACTTTTTGCGCTACCCGACGTAAACGTTATTATTCTATCTACAAATAAGTATAACAGCATAATAAATTCAGTACTGAGAAAAATCCCAATTGAATTGTGATATCATAAGAGAAAAGCCAAAATTCGATATTGAAGACGGGTTTCTTTCTTCTTTTACTGCGCGCAAATGGAAGGTCAGATTGCGTACGTCTTCTTGGGACACTCTGTAACGACAAAACTACGTTTCCATCCCCTAATGAACCCGACATCTTTTGCTTCGCTTGTGTTGCATGACTCGCAATCCCCGCGACCAAAAAAGAGGGTGTACTCGCTGCCTCTGGCTTCCTCCGACGCGCCCAACCCGATTCATCGCACGAACGCGACGCGGTACCATCGACAACAAAACGGCGATCATCATCACCATCATCACAACAACAACACCAACCACCACCATCACCATCATCATCACCACCAGCTCCGGCATCACTACGTCCCGTCCGAAACGCATCGGGCTAATCCCAGCTGGTAGAGCTTCTCGTCGAGCATAATCGGTGCGCAATGTCACACTTGTCCCCGTGTTCCTTCGCTCTAATCCAGGTATCTTACTAACTCGCTTCTTTATTTGCCTCCTCCTCGCTCTCTCTGTAATCGCACGTTTCTACGCCCTCACGACCTTGCTACCAAGCTTTTCTCGTTTGATTTTGTCTCACTAATATGGGATGATTAACCTGTGTCTCTATCTACTCATTACGTATCACAGATTACCGTGAATAGATCTTATTTCTTACGTTGTCAATTGGCAAATAGACGCGTGTGAAATACACGAAAGATAATTTCCGACTAAGAAATGACGAATAATTTTGAAAAAAAAGTTAAAAGGAAAGTAAAATAAAATTTGGTAAGATTATTCGCAATTATTTTCTAAAAATACTATTTGTTGCGCAGGAACGTTTGATCGCAAGTAACGCCTGGAAAGACTACGCGTCCGGTGCGAACACGAACTTCGCATTCGAGGCGTTCGAAACGGAAGAGAAGGCGCCGCCGCCGCCGATTTCCAGCCTGCCGAGAGCCAGGGAGATGACCGGCAACGGGATGAGTGGCATGAACGGAACCGACGCGGTCGAGGGGCCCAACAGGATGGTCGGACCCAGGGCGACCTACAGTCTTCCGCGCGCGCCCGGTGCCAGACATTCGGCGCCTATCCAGCACGGTTACTACACGCAGGATCGCAGGGACCATTACGGGCGCCCGAAGAGTATGCACAATCCGGCGGGCGCGGCGGCCCAGGCGAACCAGCCGGACTTCTACTTCATGCCCAGCCAGCGAAAGTACAGCGGCGAGGTCGTGCGCGTTTACGTGGATTACGGCAACCAGATGCCGAAGTAAACGAGGGGAAGTTCAGGTCGCGAGTCGCGAGAACGATTTATCCGCTTCACCGAAGCGATCTGTACATATCCGAGTTGTAGTGACAGAGGACGCGGAGAAAGGACTACGCAGCCCCTGTGCGGTGCTATTTTGTCTCTGTTTCTTCTATCCCTTTTCCCCGTGATTTCCCTTCGCCGAGGACCCACCTGAATCGAGTCGCTGGGTTACGGATAGGGAAGTCTCCCCCCTCCCCCCCGTACGGAAGCATAGAAGTGGCGCTTACGACCAAAGAAGATAATTCATGGGGCGCGCGCCCTACAATTCTGTATAGAGCGCATGAACTCTCGTCAAACTTTTGTGCTTTTGCGGTGGAGAAACTGTAATGATTATATAAGTAAGTCTCATGTAGTAGCCGAGAAACGGACAGTCCGCGGATCCCTGGGTTCCAAAATACGAATCTTACGATCTAGCGATATGTATTCGAAGATTCAAGATCCAGGGGCCATATAGCTTAATGTCAAGAAAATAAGACTCGAAGGACCCACGGATCCAAGAATAACAGGATTAAACGATCCTGAAATTCGAGAATTCGAAGACCCGTAAAAAAAAAACATGTACCTAAGTTTATCTCGCTCGAATATGCGTCTCTTTGTATCGCGCGGCAGAATCCCGACACGTTCAATGGATGCATCTACGTCGTCTACTCTAAAGAGCAGGCGTGGACACGCGTTTGAGCAATAAAACATTTGTACATTTTTAAACGAAGTTGACGCGTCCTGTGTTTCTTTAATGGATTACCTTCACCTTTAAAGCGTTACTTCCATATTGTTCCACTTATAGATGTAATTGGCCTATCAATATTTAGAGAATATCAGGTAGCGCGGTCATAACGATAGGAGTAAACGAGCAATGTGCCTGAGAAGCGATTGCTAATGGTTATGCATAAAAATTGTAACGCCTGTGACAATGACGACAATGACGACGTCGATATAGAGAATCGTGTTGGTACGGATTATAAATTATTACAATAGAGTGATAAAATTAACGATATAATACTTGTAATAATCATAATAACGATAGATGTAGCAGCAGTAGTAACGATGGCAATAATATTACAGTATTAATTACATTAATGTCATTAACAACGGCGTCGCGTGCAGCCAGACTTCCGGGATATCTTCACGAGCGATGGAATATAAGGCGACGCCAAAGATAAGCTCTCTCTCCCTCTCTCGCTTTCTTCCTTCCTTTCTCTCGCTCTCTCAATCCCTCTTTCTCTCTTGCGATCTCTAAAAGTACGCGAGCATATATCCGGAAGTCAATTGTGGCACGCACTGCCCGCGTTCCTATTATTACATAACTAGCGTCGAGCACATATGTTCGGCTCTACCATAAAGGTTTTTTTTTTGTTTCTTCGGTCACACGTGCGAAGTTTGAGAAACGAGTTCTACGCGAATCTAATACGTGGCATGCCCAACGAACGCGAACGCAAATGCCGCGCAGGACAACAGGGCGATGTGTGTGACGAGTAAACGCGCGATCGAGCTACAGTGCTTGTCAGAACGTCACGTTCGAGGCGTTTTGTAAGAAATTATACGTAATCGCGCACGTACTCGCGCTCGGCGGGCATGCTATTTTATCTCTGCTTCTTTTTCAATCTATCGGTCTGTTTACTTGTTAGCTTGTCACTCATACTGTATTATTTATTTTTCTTTCTCTCTCTTACCCTCTCTCTTTTTCTCACATACAGCATACATACGTACATACATACACGTACACATACACACGCACCCTCCATTCCCTGGCACACACTCGTGTCATCATCGGCACTTGTACATAACTCAACACATCTCTCTCGCTCCCTTTCTCTCTCTTTATCGGTCAAAGCGGTGTAGTTAAAGAATACGAACAGGCGAACATCTGATAAACGGAGTGAACACCGTAATAAGGCTTAATTTAATCTTTTAGTAACTGGTGTGATCCTGCTCTGTACGCATCTGCCGCACAAGCCTGTTTTCACACAGGTGCGCACTATGAATGGCCCACTCAAGCCCGCTGCTGTCCATTTTGCAGTTTATTCCACGTTTGTGACGACACATTCCTCTCATTCAAAAAGCCGTGTCCCGTTGTCTTTACAGGTTTCCATTACAGCACTATACATGACGACCCGTTCCCCCGCTTCTATCGCATCGCTCTAATTCATCTGCTTTCTGTCTCATTTCCTCTGTCTGACATCGGATTCCTTGTTGGGTGTCGGTTTACTATAAATTTAATAAAAGCAGAATGTCAGGCAGTGTAGTAGCGTAAGAATCTATAAGGCGTCTCCGCTAATATAATTTACATTTCATAAGTCGTGTTTTACAAAACTGTAAATATTACGAGCGAACAGTATAAGCTTATCGTTATAAAAGAATGAAACAGGACTGGAACGGAGTAAGGGAAATAGTCCTGATCTGCGTTTTTCTTTACGTAAACAATCGAGATAAATAATTTAGCCAAGCCGGAGCCGACTTTAGAGTACGGTGTTTCCGAAACTTATCCGACGTGGGTTCGAAGCAAACTCTCCTGACAGATCGGAACTGTGGTATTGGGGGTAAATCAGATGGGAGAGGTCCATGTAACGGGACATTCCATTCCAGGGGTTCATCGGCAGGATTGGGTTCCAGGATAAGACTGCGCCGAGCAGAGAGACAAGGTCATAATCCCACCGTACATTTCCGTGAAAATGATAAAAGCCCATGAAAACGTAGTCCTATCCAAAATACACTTACGTATCAGGGCTTTGATCGGTATCGGACTCCTCAAGTTCAGCTTTGTTCCGCTTCTTCTCGTAAACTAGAATGATGGCGCATAGAACAACGACCTCCGCGCAAATGCCTAGGAAGGGCCAGAGTGCGGCGAGCTTGTCCTTCACCCTGAGGAATGTCTTGGCCTCCGACGAGTGTTCCAGTACGGGATCGGACCAGTTGTACGACATCCAGCAGATAATGTCACCGCGATCGGTCATCTCGATGTTGTCGACAGTCAGGACGGCGCCGTAAATACCCTTCTCCGTGTCCTTGGTGATCTTGACGCGATCCTTGCTGCGCGTATAATTCTGATCCCTGAAGGTCCAGGATATTTTCACGCCATTTACGTTCTGTTTGCTGCCACACACCAAGTGCAGCTTCTCGCCCTCCACCACGCTGGTAGATTCAGCCATATGCGCCACTGGCCTCGCTGAAATTTTAGAGCATCGAATGTGAGACGAAGAAATAACGTCTGTGCGAAAAAAGGAAAGAATTGTTTTCCCTTTTCCTAAAAGCTTGCTTAAGAGATAGCTTGATAACGGCGGTTAAAAATTCATATAATGTTTCCCGCTTAAGCTGCTTGTTTCTAATAATCTCTTCTGTCAATCTAGAAACGTGGTGGTGCCGGAGTACTCACGTACGACTCTGTACTCGATCGTGGCGTTAGCTGCTTTACAAGTGTAATTTCCATAAAGCTCTTCCTTGTCCTTTAAAATCTCCAGGTTGCCGGTCTCGTTATCAATCTTGACATCTTCGTTGCCGCTCACCGGTATCTTCTCCTTCATCCATAGCACTTTATCGCTAGCGCTTCTGTTTGCGCATTCGAGCACCAAAGGTACGTCTTTGGGCGTGAGTACTCTAATCTTAATATCTGCATCAAACAAGAAGACGTTGTTTTTTTTTCACGCGCGTTTAAATATAACCGTGCAAATTGCGACGTCAAACGAGTCATCGGGGAACAGTAATGCGCGTATTACCGCAAAGACTCGAAGGATTAAAATCTCAAACTCTCCAATGTGCGATATAACAAAAGAATTAACTTATAACTCTTTTCGATAAATTACTCAGATATTATAATGCACGAGTGACGGCGACATCTACCACTGGCAGTTGTATTTTTAGAACGTCGTCCTAAATATTCCTGTAATAATAGCCTGGAAACGTGGCAGCCGAAGAGACGCGGGCAATTCGTACATTCCGCTTTTGTAGAAAAGCGAGTTCATTCACTTTTACGCGAATCGTCCGAACGTTATTGCGTTCTCATTGGCTTCTCTAATTTTCGAGGAATAGAATATCCATCGCACACTTCAGTTATCGGAACTGAAATATTTGTTATCTACAATAAAGTATGACGTAAGCTGTATCGATTATCTCGCACGATTAGAGACGTGTGATTAATGATAACGAATCTTTTTCGTGAGGCTCTGACGCGTAATTATGTATCCATAAAACGAATTATTAATTATTTATAAATATTATCAAGTGTAGTAGGCATTTGAATGTTTCATATTAATGAGATGCGTTATTATTACATAAAGTTCTTATATTCTTAGCTCTCGCGCGTACGCGATAGTTAACGTTACCAGCGGAATATGCTCGCTGTTCTGTCCATAAACAGTGTAATAAATATTAATAAATGTCGTGTCGAGAATGCCTCGAGGGGGGAAAGTGAATAAAATAATCCTGTGCATGCAATAAAGCAATAACTGGGAGCTCGCTCGCGGCAGAATATCACTTATCAAATATTATCACACGTCGAGAAAAGATTTCAGATATAGGCCAACGTATCTACGTAGAGGTGTAAATACTTGACTTATTAATTTTATATCGATAATCGATATTCCGCTGTTTGTCAGACTCGATGTTTAGCTGTTTGTCAGACTCGAGGGTTGTGCGGTAAGCGCGCGCGTGAAATAAACGCGACGATAAAGCATTAAATGCGAATAGGTGTAACGGTGGGCGGAAATGCGCTAATCTCCATAATGGAAACCGGCGATAAACGCGCGTCGAATTGCCGTGCATAAAAAAAAAAAATGCTGACGCAAACGTACACAATTTTATAGCGGAATTCTTCCGCTGATCCTTTGGACGATGGATAGGACGCAATTTATTGACCACAACACACAGAGAGTGCCCTATTATGAGATATGGTCCTAATATGAGACAGTGGGGGGGTTCTGCTAAATTAATATGCAATATACCCTGGCTCCATCATGAATCTATTGCTCTTAGAGTGAAATCTGTTTAGTGGAAAATTCATTGTTAGATCGCGCCTGTAATCGTTGCGAAAAAAGACTTCCCAACGAACACAGAATATTACAACATTGCCGCAACGTTGTTGCAAGACACGTTACAACGAAACTTCTGACTTCTAATTTAATCTTTTACATCTCCATCTTGACAAATCTTGTAAGTTTTATTATACAAAATAACTACGTATATCTTATTATGTATTAAGAACGCATCCGAAACACATCAACTCATTTGTTCTCCAGACAATTGCGGACACTCTTGTAAGATTGTTACCTGAAGAGGACCAGTACGGTCGCTTCCACACTTATTTGAATTCTTATTTCTTAACTGGCGTCACCGAACTGCTATCAATTGTTGTTGCAACGTTCTGTGTTCGCTGGGTTGCAAAATTGGGATGTGGAAAAACCCGCAATCTCATATTAGGAGCCTATCTTATAATAGAAGACTTTCCTCTACATTTCGTCACGATACGAACCGACGTATATCGAGAGGTGATAAAATTCCGAGCTGGCGGTGGTGCATTTGTAATCCCCCTCGTGGTTGTCGGTCGCTTGGTTCGCCTTGAGCCTGCTGCTGCCGGTATTGGGCTCCGAGTAGACGACCAGCTGACCGCTGGACAGCTCGGGTTCCAGCGTCTGGCCGTTCCTGGTCCACCTAATGTTATCGTCCTCCAATTCGGTGCATGTGATCTCCCAACCTTGCCCCTCGCGCACAATCGTCGGCCCATCGTACTTCACTGTTATTGAAAAGGAAAACGTTTACGTTAAGTGGTTCAAGTCAGAGAAAATTGCACGAGACACGATTTTATCTTTAAGTCGATCTTTAGTCAAGTCGAGTTATCCGCCAAATCAATTTGCAAGATCCTAACAGATCTTAAAAAAAAAACATAGAGATCACAAGTTTCTAGCAATCAACGTATGTCTGTTGCTGTCTACAGCGGATAATACCAGGCTCGCTGGTTCAAGGAAAATGTACGGCTACAAAGGAGTTACAGTCACGTAAGATCAATCGCGCAGGATGAATAAGTATCTACCTCGCGTGAACAAAAGGCACGATAAAACGTTAAGGAAGTTCTTATCGTGAATAAACGCACCATTACTTTAGCAACCGCGGAATTACATTGCGATTCCGCGGCTCTGAGTTCAAGGTGATATTGATCAGGTAACAGGCGGGGGTGGGGAGGGGAATTCTGTGTATCAGGTAAATGCGTCAATATTAAATACCCCCGATTCGTCGAGTCGAGTCGGCCGGTTCCTTTCCGTCTCTAAATTAAGCTGAAAATCTCGAGACTCGCGGATCGAACCTCGCGACGCGGCTCCAATCGATATTGAACTCCGGGGGAAAAACTCTTACGCGATAGACGCGCTTTGTAGAGAACAGGCACGGTGGAAATATATTTGTTCTTATCTCGAATGCGAGACAGAGACAGAGAGAGAGAGAGAGAGAGAGAGAGAGGAAATGATCTGCATATCGATCGCGCACCCCGCACTCGCGGAACGCGTGTTTACGCATGTTTACGTTTCCGTCGTTCTCGGGTGCGAGAACGCGGCTCCTCCTCGGTTCTCAAGTCGTCGGTCGATGCGGGGTGACCGCGCGGAACTATCGATCGCACATGTATAATCAGTTAATTATCTTAGCGAGCGCACGGGGCGACGTAAGCCGGAATTCTTTCGCGGATGGGATAATTAGTGGCAATCTAGCTGATTGCTCTCGGTAATAATTATCCGTGCACTGCCCGCGAGTTTCGCCGCGCGAATAATTCCCTCGGACGACGCATAAGGAAATTAATTCCATAATTTAGGTCACGTTGTCAGCTTTAACGCACTGCTCGGCGCTCGTATTATCTCGTCGTTTTCACCAAGCGTTTGCGTAATTTATTGTAATATTTAAATCAGTTCGTACTCAGTTACTGGACACGCTGGAGGAGCATCGCTGTGTTCGCGCAGGAAATGATTGAAGCCAACGAGAGCCAATAAGGATGCAGTTTTGGATCAGGTGATTTAAGGAGTCATTCCACTTTAAAGGCCCAGAAACTGTGCTTGTCTTTAACAATTTTTTCCACAGTAAATACACCATACAAGGAAATATATTTTTTGGGGATTTATTAAGGCACTGTTTAATAACACAAAAAAATTTTGTCACAATTTAAACAATTATTTAATTAAGCGTTTTCTTTGTTAAGTACCTTTGAAAACTTTTCGCAAACTGGCACCATTTTGTTATTTTTAAATAAAAATTCTTAATTGAGGTTCGGGACATAGCGACACTCGTATAGATTAAGAGTCTTTTCGATTTTTGGTTTCAGGTAAGCCTGAATGATAAAAGTCGTCAACGCAGCGGACTTGCATCGTTTTTTGAACACGTCATTCGAACGGTGTGGAAAACGCTTAATTAAAAAATTGTCTAAATTATGGCAAAAATTTTTTGGTGCTATTTAAGAGCGCCCTAATAAATCCCGAAAATATGAATTTCATTGTATGGTGTATTTACTGCGGAAAAAATTGTTAAAGATAAGCATAGTTTTTGAGTCGTTAAAGTGGAATGACCCCTTAAGGCTAGATCCTGATTCGCTCTCGTAAACAATCCAGTTGAATAAATTAGTATCATGTGCCGTTGGCTCAGTTCATCGGCGATTTATTTTACTGTCGAATTGTACAACACGCAAAACAATATTTGTACTGTATCGCGGGACCTTCGAACGGACAGCACGAGCGAAACTCTCGGCAGCGGAGGTGCCACGCGCTGTGATGACGAATCAGCAGAATTATACCCAGCGTGATGACGTACGCGCGCTGTGTCTGTATGTGTATGCCTGCGACTGTGTGTGCGCATGCAAGTTACATGCGTCACAGTAGTTTCACAGTGATAAATAGCGACAAAGCACGGTCTGGCGTGGCCAGTGAGAATATGAATCAGAGCGCGAGTCGTTATTTTCGAGTCCGCGGCGCGATAGCTCGGTGGTCAAAATAAATGTCGACGGCGTCATTAACGTCCACGGAGCGGATCGAGGCGAGACCTCATCTCGATCGCAGAGACCGAATCGCGCTGATAGCCGGCACACAATCGTCGCGCGAGGAGTCGTCTCTAATGAACGAGGAAAAATTCCGAGAACGGACCGCGTCGGCATTGTTCAATTATTTTCATCGCGGGGAATTATTCCGGCCGCGTCCAATGTCCACTTCAATTCTCACTGTACGCGGTTTCATGATGTAAAAATACAATACAAAAATTTAATTGCACTTGATAAGGGCCGAGACCCATGGCCGAAACGTTGTGCTACTAAAGAAAGCTTTCCTGTTGCCAGTGGCGCCGGATTATTCACCTTAAGGTAGTTATTTCGTAAAATCATTCGTGTGAGAATTGTTTCAAATTTACAGTTTATTCATTACATTAATACGTGCAAAATAAGACTAATTAAATTAAAATTGATCGTCTCAAAGTTCTAAAGAAAAATGTTAAAGTTTGCTGTGTCACACGAAATATTACGTGTAAAACACGTGAAAAATATTGTTGCACGTGAAATATTATTTGCACATATTATTATGTGTTAAAATATTAATATTTGCAAACGCAAATGATGGCACATTATATATACTTTTTAAACTTAACGGTGAGTGAGATTCGTATGAGGAACAAATATGTAATAAAGTAAAATAGAACTGGAAAAAAGTCAAAATTATTGTCCGTTCCGTTTCAACAATGTAAGCGGTTAAAACTGAAAAATTGGAAGAATCATATAGTAGACATGAGTTTAGTGTAAGAAATGTGGCAACAGCGATGCAAACTATAGTCTTTCGAATCTATTTTATATTATGTATTAATCGCAAGTGTATTCTTTAGAACAATATTGCATCAAGATATATCATTGTAATAAATGAGTGCTAATTCCTGGGGGGAAACTTTTGAGTATTACTGTCGCGAAATGACTACTTTAATTATTGTAATATTTGCTGGCGGTAGAACATCTTAAATTTGGTTTCAAAGTACAAGGTGAAACTTCGCGCGCATTACCAAGTTTTGGGGCAAATTGTCCATTGGTCCTCGCCGCATTCAACCGCGAAGATTTGCAGTTCGAAGGTTTGGGGCAAATTTCTGACTGGTTTCACGAGTGCGCACGAGTCCACGGGAATGTTACACCTGGTATTCTTGCATCATGCGCGGTTTAATACCTTGGGAGCTTCTGTTTTAAATTTGCCTACTACCCGCCAACATGAAATCAAATACGTTCCAAAAAATTAGATTCTCACAAAGTACGTGTAATATAATCGCTACTATAATTCGAATCTCCCCTTCAATTTGAACGTAATTATTTTGTCGCGTGACTTTCCGCTCATATTTTAATTACGCCGTTTAAATCTATTATACCTCGGTACGCTCATGAAAAAGTCACGAGGGACCGCGGAGCTGCCATCGAGGTCGATATTCGCGTATGTCGCGCATCGTTTGATTTCGCCGCGAGTCGATTCGATCCTCCGCGTTTCGGAAAATCGATCGATCCTGCCTGCGATTACTCTTTAGATCCGACGCAAATTCTCGGACGACAATCAGCCGAGTTTAACGGCCAGGCGTCGTCTTCGTCTTCGTGACGAACGTGGAACGTGTGCGGCGAGCAAACTGTAATAAATGTTTTGCTAACCGAGCCGACATTGATTCCCCTTATTGAATTACCCCTCGTCGGCTCGACAGCATCGCGTGATCGCGGCGAAACAATTTCGTTGGCATTCCGATGATCTCCCCCCCCCTTCCCTCCTAGTTTTCCCTCAAAGCGAAATTCAGTCGAGTCCGGCGGACTGACACGGCGTTCAAATGCGAATCGACGGGGCATGGTAACTCCGGGAAAATCAATAAACTACGAATGTTATTTTAAGCCCGCTCTCACGACGGCACCACGCAGCTGAAAATCCCGCGAACGCGGGAGTTCGCGAGCGTAAAAAAGTACGAAGGGCACTTTCCAGCGAGAGACGCAGATTCGCTGCGTCCCGCGGGAAAAACCGCGTCGCAGCTGTTGTAAAATTCGCGAATCTGATTGGCGTATTCTCCCAGTGCCTATCTACAACGGAGATGGAAACCCTAAGCCTTCAGAAAATTGACTACTCACAGTCGCGTATTCTACTCACACTTGACCGTGATTGATCAATTTCTCAAGGCTTAGGGCTTAAATCATCTATCGTAGACTGGGACTTAATCCCGAGTGAATTTAAGAGCGTACGCCAGTCACATTCACGTATTTTACAACAGTTGTAACGCAGCCATTGACACAGTGTAATACAGAGAATCGTTTCATCCTTCTTTAATAATAGCGAAGATAAAACAAAGATAAAACGATTCACTGAGTGACACAGTGTCGCCTGTGTACAGTTGCTGGAAAGCACCCAATGTTGTCGACTGAAACGACCGTGGACCCCTGGTCACTTTTTAGTTTGTCCTCCCCCCCCCCCTCCTGTCCTCAAAGAATTCTCGAGGACGCGTAGCTCGGACCCCGAACGAGAGCTCTCGGAAAGCCAGTCGGTGGATTATCACTGAAAACAGCGGATAGTCACTAATTCACAGTTATAAGACTTATAAGCATAGACATAGGCCGGTATTCATATTCGATTCTTGTTTCAAAATCATCTTAATTGGCCAATACGGCTCTGTGATTGGTTAAAAACACATTAAGAGTATACTTAAGACAATCTTAATTATAAGAACGGACTATGAATACCGGCCATAGCTATGCTAGACCTGAGGCTCATT